CCCCCATGGCCGCCTAGCCACCCCCTCCACGGTCAGCGGCCTACTCTCGTCGCGGCCGGTCGGCCTCCTCCCCGGTGATTGCGGCCCGTCGGAGTGCTCGGCTGGATGCTGCTCACCCCGAGGGTAGTCTGGCTCTGCCCATCTCCGAGCGGGCGGAGATCCGGGCTGCTGCGCGGAACCTGGAGCCAGGTACGCCCGCCGTCCCCCCTTCGGCCTCGTCTTGCTCCTTCTCTGCTCTCGAGTCGATCCCTCTTAGCAACCTTGCAAAGGTGGCCTCAGACTCTGCGATCATTTTTCGAGGGGAATCTGGTCCCCCTTAGTCCAGATTGCGGCGATCCGCGCCCGCGAGATACTGGATGGGAGGCTCGCGGAGGCCCGTGCGGCTCTCCTCCTGCCCCCTGTCCCCCCTTCTGCCGGTGAGACCCCCCTTCCGGCTGTGTTGAGGCAGTTAGGTGCCCCTCCCCCGGTGAGTGGGGTCGAAATCCGTGGCCGCACTCGCTCTCGCACAGCGGCTCTCCGTGCTCAAAGTGCCTCTCGCGTTCTGGGGTCAAGCAGCCCCCCAATGGCACCTTAATGCGTGCTTTGTTCTGGAACATATGCGGTTTCGGCCATGATGGCCGACGCCGCCAACTCATAGACTACTTGCGGGAGGAACACATTGACATTGTCGCCATCCAGGAAACCATGCGTCTTGAATTCTCGCTCCCCGAGCTTGATCGTCTGAGCTCTCACCTCTTTGCGTGGCATTGGCTCCCTTCTAGTGGGAGCGCCGGCCACTCGGGTGGCATCCTTTTAGGCGTAAAGGATGCCACCTTCAAGGTGGGAAGCATGGACCGGGGGGAATTCTTTGTGAGCATGGAGCTCTTCGAGAGATCTCTCAACTTCAAGTGGGAGGTCATCATCGTCTACGGGCCCGCAGACCACAGTCGATCTGCCGCCTTCCTCGAGGAGATCCACCGGAAGATCTCCTCGGCTTCCCTTCCGGTGGTGGTTGGTGGCGATTTTAACCTCCTTCGCGTGGCGGAGGACAAGAGCAATGCCAATGTCTGCTTTGCCCGGATGCAGATGTTCAATGACTTCATTGCCGACCTTGGTCTTCGCGAGATTGACCGGATTGGTGCCAGGTTCACCTGGACCAACCGGCAAGCCTCCCTGACCCAGTCCGTCCTGGACCGGGTCCTAGTGTCCCCGGATTGGTACCTCCGTTACCCCTTAGCCTCCCTCCACGCCATCACCAGGATTGGCTCAGACCACGTTCCCCTTCTCCTCTCTTCTGCTGATGAGCGTCCACCAGTCCCTCCTCGATTCCGGTTCGAGAACTTCTGGCTCTCCCAAACCGGGTTCATTGAGGCGGTTGGCACTCGGTGGATCGAGGCTCGCACCCACCCCCGCCCCCCCTCGGCCATTGACTCGTGGCACTTCTGCGCGAAGCGGGCACGTCATCTCATGAAGGGGTGGGGCGCTAATCTGGGTCGTGACCTTCGTGACCGCAAGAAGACGTTGTTATCAGCGATCCAGGCCCTTGACCTGCGCGCTGATTCGGTTGGGCTCTCCGGACGAGTGGCTTTCCCGGTACGACCTGGAAGACCAGCTCTTCGTGATCTACACCGATGAGGAGGCCTATTGGCGCCTCCGGGGTGCCCAGAAGTGGGTCTTGAAGGGTGACGCGAATACGACATACTTCCAGGCCATTGCCAACGGCCGCCGTAGACGCAACACCATCCCTCTCTTGTGGGATGGTGAGACACTTCTTGAAGCCCCCCGCGACATTCGATCTCACATCGACAGATTCTATAGATCCTTATTCTCTGCCGCTCCTAGGAGCGGCCTCTCTCTTGCCCCCGACTGTTGGGCCGGCTCCCAGTTGGTGTCTGAGGCGGAGAACGCGGCCCTTACGGCCCCCTTCTCCGAGCAGGAGGTCTGGGATGCCATCAAGGGCATGAACTCCTCCTCTGCACCTGGACCGGATGGCCTCCCGTGAAATTCTTCCAGTCATTCTGGAATGTGATTAAACCGGAGGTCATGGCTATCTTCGACGAGTTCTACGTTGGCTTCATTGATCTCGGGCGACTCAACTACAGGATCAGCTCGCTCATCCCGAAGGTTCCGGGGGCGTCTGACATCCGCCAATTTCGTCCGATCACGGTCATTAACGTCATCTTCCGGATCCTGGCTAAAGGATACGCCAATAGGGTGACCCTGCTAGCTGACCGTGTCACGCTCCCCAACCAGTCGACTTTCATTAAGGGCCGGTACATCCTGGATGGGGTCCTAGTCCTTCATGAAGTCCTCCATGAGGTCCGCTCCAAAAACCTCAAGGCGGTTTTTCTGAAGATTGACTTCCATAAGGCTTACGACACGGTTAGCTGGCCCTTCCTTAGGGAGGTTCTTCTTCGGAAGGGTTTTGACGACCGGTGGATAACTCGTGTCATGCAAATGGTTACTTGTGGTCATACGGCCGTGAACATAAACGGTGAGATCGGCCCTTTCTTCCCCACCCTATGTGGGGTCAGACAAGGCGACCCTTTTCCTCGTTCTTGTTCAATATGGTCATGGACGCGCTGGCATCCATCCTTGATAAGGCGAAAGCCGCGGGCCATATTCGTGGGATTACCCCCCATCTCGCCGGTGGCGCCGGGATATCCATTCTCCAGTATGCTGACGACACTATCATTATGGTTGAAGGCTCGGAGAATGATATCTCCAACCTCAAGTTCCTCCTCCTATGCTTCC